CAAACTACATGCCAACAATGATGTTGTGGAATCAATCATTAGATGTTCTATGCTGCCGATGTCTATGACTGAATGCATAAACAAGGATGCAAGGATAAAAACAATCTTCAATAAACGTATTTAAAATAAAAGACAACCCAGATTAGGCCCATCTGTACTATATCTCCCGTATGACAGACAGAGGAGGCCTGTGTGTGCCAGGTCTGCTCAGGTCTCTGCTGCCTCCTGCTGGTTTTCACCCACAATATCCCAAAACAGTAGCAGAGAGACTCTCAGAGGCTCGGTCTCTACGCCTTCAGCCGAGTTCAAACATGAATATAAAGCTCTGATTGTTCTGATTGTGGAGCTCTGTGATCAGCATGTGTTGATGATGCAGCTCAAATAGATCTTTGTTTATTAAGAAGCTTTAACATTTGTGTTATTATGTGGATCTGCTTTGCTAGTTTTACATTACATGTGCCTTTTTACTGCAATTGTTTTATATTAATTTCATTCATATGTATTGATGTTTTATTTCATTTCAGGATTTTGACACCATGTAATTTTCTAAACTGAAGAATCCACAAAAAACATAATGAAGTATTAAGTGAAACATTCCCAGTCCTTAAATACTTTAAAGCTGGGAGACTTTCTCTCAGTCAGCCTCAGATTATGACTTTGATCAAGTTTTTTCCTGCTGGGAATGAGAGATGTAAGCAGGAATATGAAAACAAACTGATTAGAAATGTATAATTAAAAGAACTAAACATTAAAGTCAAAGTCTGTGATATGTTGTTAAAAGTGGAGAAATTCTTCTGGAATATTTGGTTCCTCCAATCTTGAAAACACAAGATGAAGTAAGCTGTTTTATTGTATCAGTATATTTAACCTGATTGAGTCTTGTTACATTTACATCAGATTTCAGACTTTGTCGTCACTGGAGACTGTTTGACAAACATGGTTTTGTGTGTTTGTGTCCAGGTTGTCGTTCAGTTTCTGAAGTAAGCAGGTCCCTGGTCAGGAGAATGGACTTCACCTCGAGGATGTGAGAGAACCGAAGAATACACGAATCATTTTTCTATGAATCACTGAATGAGTTCTTGATGTCAAAACAAAGTGCTGTTTCCTGTTAAAATGTAATGTTTTTAAAGTGGTGCTTTTGACTAGAGCATGTAAAAACTGATACTAAATACAGAGCTGGAGCTGATTGTGAGTAGTGAACTTGTATTTAGTATCTTTTAACTGAAACGCTCAATATTGAGATTAAATCTAACTGTGAATTGTTAATATAAATGTGTTGTTTGATTGAGAACTTTCGAATCACATCACATCTAGCCCCGTCAAAAACACTTAAGGATGAAGTTGTTTCGTTAGCAAAGTCGAAAATCAACAGTTTTTATTTTTGTTCAGTTTTGACTTCAGATTTTCAATTTTCTATCAGTTTTAATTAGTTTTTACCATTTGTTTGCTAGCTTAGTTCAGTTTTTATTTTTTTGAAAATCCTTAGTTTCAGTTTAGTTTTGATTAGTTCAGGGGCGATTCTAGGATCAGAGCTTTGGGGGTGCTGAGCACCCAGAGAGCTGCTCAACCAGGCAAGATCAACTGTACTCGTCACGATGAGACGTCTTCCTTGTCTCTGCAGTCCCTGCATCCCTACATGTCTCCAGTTGTCCTCTGTCTGTCTCCTC